TCGCGCAGTTCTGGCACATTAGCAGGTTGAACGCATCGTCTGCTATTCCTTTGAGGACATGGCCAGCCTTATCAGACTCGGACATGTCGTTGTCGACTTTACGACTTAGAGCCACCACGTCCTATATATACGAGATATATGGCTCTGTAGACGTCTGAGCATGTATAGACAACTCATTTTTTGCAGCCGCTTTTTGACCGATGGGCTTCCCAAATAGGTCGCGAAGCTTCTCCTTGAATGTGTCCCAACTGCCGATCTACTCCTCATGGTTCTCGTACCAGACTTTGGCTGTGTCTTTCAAACAGCACGTTGGCCAGCATGAGAGTTGGGTCATACTGGTTGAGCGCACTAGTACGTTCATAGTCAGCTATCCAGTCGTCAACGTCAACTTCGTCCGTACCACAGAACGTTCCTGGATGCTTCCGATGCATCAGCACGTACATGGGTGGGGGTGGGGCCGGTAGAGGCGTTGCCATGGATGGTGCAGGCGTTGCCGAGGCCATTGGAGAGGTGGCCGTGGGATCAGTTTTGTGTTTCATCACGGAAACTTCGATTTGACGACCACTGCGGAGCTCCGTTGTATGGCGATTCGTCACCCAGCACGTCCACCAACTTGTTACGGGGATTACAAACACACGGAAAAAAGAAACGAGTGTATTTGCAATATTTACAGGAATGTGTGACACCCCAGGGCTGCTAGCATCTCGCGCTTTGAGTCCGCTTCTTCTTCATCGATTCGTCTACGACGGCGGAGCCATGACCACTGCCTGGTAACAATATAATCAGGAGATGGAGTATTTCCAGTCATTTGTTTCGAGATATAGCTAGCATTTATCCAAGTTCTGATGAAGAGTCTACAGTGGGCGACGTCAGATCACCAATGTCAACGTGAAGGAGTGACGTAAAAGCAGGACCATTCGTTTCTGTACATCACTCCTTACATCTTGGGGCGCACGCCCGCGAGAAGAGCGAGTGGCAGTCAGTAGAAATTTAGCGTTTTTTCGCGACATGTAGCGTTGCAAATTTTAACAGGCATGGTCATGCATGCCCAGTGCATGCATCACGCTTGTTAGTTCGAAATGGCCATACTTAGCGAGGGGCCCTCTAAGGTGTTCACTGACAGGGAACAAATTGATCCTACGCAATTAGACCTAGCATTTATCTCTTCTGGGGTATGAGTGGCATGTATTTGCTCCTGCACTGCCCTTTCCAGCCATGACGAAATGAAATTGACCTAAAAGAGGGTTGATTTCACTGTGGACACTTGACTTGCAATGCTAGAAAATAGAACAAAAGAACGTAATCCGCTAATTGCATGGAAAATGCATGCCCATGTTCAACCGTTGGTGCCTTTGTGTTATCTTAAACAATATCTTTTCGTTTTGCTTCTTGTCGTAGATACAAGTCACCGACATCTTCTTTTTATACTATTTCAATTTTTTAGCAATTTATTGTGCCAATATTTATTATTTTTAAGGCCTAAATTGTGTTTTACCTGCCTGTCTTTGGTGCCTAGAACTCACTATTTAGTGCCTAAAAATCTGGCCTCTAGACATGACCAATGAAGCCTACAATCAGACAAAGACAGCAAAGAACACTGAAGAGTAATGAGCATTAACCATCAACACTGAAATGAGGCTGGCAGAATGGAATATATAAAGGCACACCTGACTGTACATCACACAGATGGAGGAGGCAAAGTATGACACAATTAATTTTTATTTGTAAATACCTGCAATACCAGTGGGCATTATTATAGGGCGGGCGAAAAACAAAAATAGAATAGTTAGCTAGTGCAGCGGAACAAACACAAAGAGGCACGTAAACAGGATGGAAATACACTACAGCATAATACAACATAAAGTTGCTTCTTGCCATAATGGTGCATTTCTTAAGGATTCTTTCTCGCATGGTGATCTACATTTTAGTCAGCATTGGAAATAACACCAGGATCAACAGTTTGGCCACACTGTCTACACTGTAGTACATATAGGAAGCCACTGCACTTCTTCCTCACAGTATTTCCACACACACCGTTCGCACACCTCCTACTTTTTTACGTGTTCGAAATGAGCAAACTGTACACGACTGAATCTGCACAAACGACAAATTTCTGTATGTGCTTATGGGAACTTGTTGTTTGGCTAGTTGGCAACCCATCATATTTAGGTACTCTGCGCTGCTTGGTACCCATGAAAAACACACTCACATTCGCACACGCATCTAATAAAAAATTCACCTCACACACAGCTCTCACTTTAACTGGTGTGATGGCTTTTCAGATGCAAAAGGCATATATCCCTACTTTGCAGGCTGCAGTCTCAGCTACAGGATAGTCGTGTTGAATAAAGCTTGTAAGAATGCGTTGCTGGGCTTGTTGGTTCATAATCTCTAAGCTTGGAAGTGCAAAAGTGACGAGGACAGGATACACCCCTATCCTGTGGGCCCTGTCCCGTGTTCTTTCCTGTCCTTGTCGATTTTGCACATCCAAGTTTTAAGATACCTTGAATGTCTTCAAAGAAGGAGGGCTTTGTCTGAAATTTTTTTAAACTTCCAAGGACCAGACTATTTAGTTCCTCGACCTGCAGCTCGTGCTAGGCTGTTTGCACATGTCATGTCCCATGCATCAGAAGCCCTGCATGACTGGCGGTCTGCGCAATCCAAGCTGGTTAAAAAAGTGGGATTGGTTTTTCTTGTGCCCATTCAGCGGTGACCGAGTCATGCTGGCATTCAATGCGTGGGAGCGCATAGGCCATGTAGAAAACCTGTGTGAGGCTGGCTACCCTGAAGGCATCATCACCATCGCAAGCTAAAAATGTCTGAGGCTTATTAACGCACAAACGAATGGCAAATCCGCTATTTGCACAGGTAGAGATGAGAAAGAAGTACGCCGTCGTAGCTTGAATAAGCCCTGTTGTATATGTCTAGCTGCTCTTCACAAAGGCCAAAGTAACAACATACATGTATTGCTGAGTAAGACGTATAACACTAACATCGATTTCCGGCACGTGCAATGGGGTTTACCTCATTCCTTTCTCGTGTGTCAAAGCAGCATCTGCCTGAATATTAGGCTTAAGGCCCCCTTAAAGGTTCACACCAGCCACAACAATGAAATATGTGAAATCCTTTCAAACCGGCACCAAAACAAGATAAGAGAAAGAATCGGAGCCTTCCATATTCGCACAAATGCTTCCGCTTATCTTAAACCATCAGCCGCAGCCATTCGCACGTTTCACCACAGTTGTTTTGGGAGCACAAGAGGTAGTTCTTGGTTTTTTGGTATGTTTTTATCTTTGAGGTTCTTCTGTTATTAGAATGCGATTTACGTATGCGTTCCCCGATTTCTGTTGCTGTTTGGTGAAAGATAAAACCTGACATTTTTCTGTGAATAAGCTTCAGTTGGAAGTGAGCGCTTGTCTAGTCTAGTCCTTCTCGTGTATGTTGTCTATTTTGTGTTTTCAAGTACCATCATGCCATATGCTGCACTTCTTGAAGGAACGCACGATCAAAGTTCTTCTAATGTCGTCCCACGCTGCAGCCACCCAGCCTGCCACCTGCGACAACAATGCCCGATTTTTGTGGCCCGTTGCTGTCAGCTGGTGGGTCTCTTCGTTCAGCCACTCCGTGTAGAATACCCACGGGCAATTTTTGAATGGTAGATTGATGCAACTCTGCTGGCTTTGAAATCTGCCAGTGATAAGCCTCACTCCCTCGAAAGCTTTTGCTTGGAGCTCTTGTGTCCTTACTGGAAAAACAGCCGCTCGATGTCTCTGAAAGAAGTCGGCCAATATCATATTCTTTTCGTGGTGACAGCCTCTCTATGGTCTGATGAATGCCATTCTCCTTGCGTAACATGCAAAGTTGATTCCTCCAATGATGGACATTTTGTTGATCTACTCTGAAGTCTCGCTCGGCTTGAACTTTGACGATGACTTAGTGGCTGCAACAACTTTTCTTGTAAAAGCAACACTGTAATGGCATCGCCTGTTTAGTGCCATTGCACTGTCAATAAACTCCACGGTGCACAAAGACCACTGACAAACTGGTCAAAATGGCCGCCTTGCGTATAAGTCACATGCTGACTGGGCTAGTAACAACTACAACACCATCTTTCTTGGGTGGGGGCTAGTTATGCACCCCTTTTCAAAATCCTTGACTCCAAGCCAACCCTAGGGTTTGATGCACGAGAATTTGGGGGGGAAAAAAGCAACTTCATTGGCCTAGATGCGAGAATGTATGTATGGTAATGCGCATTACTTATGTATTCCTATGGCTCCGTAATCTGTAGTAGTCAGTTGTTGTTTGTCTCTGGAGCAATGCACCAACAAACGCTACTTATAATATTCATATAATCTGATTAGAAAGCTTTATTGGGCAAGTATGTGCCTCCTTCTTGAATGAATAAACAGGAAAAATTAAACTTTCGCATGCTACAATGTAAGAAAATTGAAGAAAATAAGAAACTGCAAAATACAACAGTTGTGAGTTCGCGCTTGTGTTTTCCCATTTCTTACTTTCTTCATCGATTTTTTTTTCATTGTACTGTACAAAAGTTTACACTATGTACAACCAACTGGCCCTTACCCTTGCTCTTGAAACAGCTAAAGTTTCCTTTGCACGTCCTCATATTTTTGCGCTGTTTATTTGTTCAAGGTGCATATAATCACACCCTGCCAATCATTACATTTCTGTAAAATAGGCTTCTATGCTCTAACATGAGGGCAGACGTTACTTCAGATGTTAAACTGCCCTTTAGGCGTCGGCGTTATTGATATGTTTGGTAAGCCCTAGGTATGCACCCAACTAACCTAAATAAACAAGGATCTCAATCTACTTACTGTAGAGAGAGAGAGAAAAAAAAAGCATGGTGTAGGTGGTTTACTGCTTCGCATGACATTGACTTTCTAAATGCGTGACATCTACTGTAATTTTCCTGCCAACACATACATACCTCTTGGTGGATTGTGACATGGGACTTATTGGGCCACCCATTTCTGCAGATGGAAGCAGCCAACCAGCTGTTTCTGGAAGACTTGTCTCTGCGGCTGCTGTGTGTGCTTGCACTGGACAAGTTTGGCGACTTCATTTCTGACCAGGTGAGCTCTGACCTGTGACAGTGGATGAATTGCTTGCAAATGAGTGTGCGAGCATTTTATTGCAATAGTTTTTGTGAACTCTTGCTTGATTTGTCACGATATGTGCCTAGAGGCAACTGAGCCCCTTATGCAGTGCTGATATGTGCTACTGCACTTTGGTAATTCGTGAAATTGCATCCAGGAGTCTATGCCGGTAATTTTAATGGGGTCACCCAAAAACATGTAATGGTGAAAGCTGTTATGAAATCGAAACACAGGTTACGTGCAGCGCCGCCGTAGTTGTTCGCCACCTCCGGGGCCCGTTACTAATATCGCAAGAAATAAAAAAAGAAAAAAAGCTCAGTAAATGAAAAACACCAAGGACACAATGGGATTCGAACCCGGGTCCGCTGTGTGCCAGCCCAGTATTCTACCACTGAGCCACGCCGACGCTTGAAACTCATTTCAAAACTGGCCTTAGGCAGGCTTGATGTCAGGGAAGGAATCGCACTAATATGAGTAATAAAGCGGTTTAGAACATCAAAGGAACAACCAGGCATCACAATGCGTATTGCATAAAGAGTGGGTCGTCCAATGATCCAACCCAATACAAAAGCTTGTTCGTGTTCACCTATCAATTGTGGCAAGTACCCACTTCAGGCATACTTCCTCAACGTCATCAGCCACTGCATGAAAATATTTAACAATATTCCTAGCAAGTGTGTAGTGGATACCATGCTTCTCCAAAGAATGAGGAAGGATAGCGCAGTGCATGCCAGCCTACTACACAAAAATACGATTTTTATGGCCGAGTGGGTACCCAGCAAGTGTGCTTGTAGCAGTTATTCAGAGTGTCAAAAAAAGGCCCTGAATGGCAGCTCTTCAAGCTTTTGCTGTCACAGTGCTGTGCGTTCTGCGCATGCCCGGCATTATTTATTTATTTAGAGAAACTGTCAACCCTCAATGCGTCATTACTGAAGTGGAATAAGTAAAAAAAAAAAAAGGCACACAAGAGTGCTACAATCCACACAAAATAATGTGCTGTAAAGATGAAACATTGGTTACAGTATTTTTCAACGTGAACTTCAATAAAACTGCTGATCCTTGGTGCACATAGCAAAAGAAAAGCTTTGCGCACAAAGACATGCAAGAGATATGAAAAAGTGATTATAACAAACACATAAAATGTTGGATTTCTTGCCAGTAATTAAATAGTAAGTGGTCATACAAGTGAAACACCAGTGCAAACAATAGCTCCTGAACATAGCAGTCAGTGCACTAAAATGTAAAATGAATAATATTTTTACAGCAAGTTGTAATGATATGATTTCATTTACAAGAGGTGAACGATGGTTGTACACGGTAGTGCACTGGGGGCTTGTCAAACTCTTCGTCTTCCTCTTCTTCTCAGGCTTTCGCATGTTCATTTCATTCCTTGCAAGCAGACAAAGCTCGAAGGGTGAGTCATGCTGAACAAGGAGGGTAGAAAGGCGAGCAATGTGAATGAGCGACATTCTGCTCGATCGTCGACCATTGGACAGGAGGCCAACTATTACGTAGGTGAGCTGGCTGAGATGCTCCAAAACTACAAATGGGCCTGAATATCGTGACAAAAGCTTTTGACACAATCCACGCTTGCGTTGCTGTGTCCGAAGCAACACCAAGTCACCTTTCTCGAACTGTACTTGTTCGCAATAGTAGTCGCATTGTTCCTTAGAACAATGTTGGGAGGCCAGAGTCCAAAGAGCAATTTGATGGGCTCGCGAAGCACAAGGTGTTCGATACTGAATCATCATTGTGTAGAATGAACAGTAAGAAAGTGTCCAGAAGGCTTAGTGGAAACCCGGCGTACACCAGATGAAATGGGCGAAAGTTCGTTGTTTGATGTTTCGCCTTGTTGTACGCGTGCGTGATAAAAGGGAGCACGTCATTCCAGTTCTTGTGATTGGTGAAAACGTACATAGCAAGCATGTTAGCGTTCTGTTCATTTGTTCAACGAGGCCATTCGTCTGGGGATGGTACGGTGTTGAATGATGGAACTGTGTTGTGCTCATGCGAAGTAATTCTTCAACGGCATCAGCAGTGATCTGGCGGCCACGGTCCCTGATAAGAACGTGTGGTGGGCCATGGCAAAGGTCCGCCGATCGCAGCAAGAAGGTCGCCATAAAAACAGTAGTAGAAGAAAACACAGCTGTGGTTTCGGCATACTGCGAAAAATGGTCTATGCTTACGATTATGATATCGGAAGAGTTCCTGTCGTTGGATCACTAAAATGGACCTAGAATGACAATTTTCACTTGTTCGAAAGGCGAGCTGGGTGTGTCGATTGCTGAAGGGGACCTGGTGCTGCGGTGGCAAGACGCTTGTGACATTGGCACGTCTCATAGCTAGCGATGCCACGCCTTGCTGTTTCGTACATCTTGGGCCAGTAAAAGCGTTCCTGCATGCGGTGCAGCGTTCATATGAAGCTGAAATGACTGGATGCCGCATGGCACGTAGAACATCAGAGCGAAGGCTCCTGGAGACAACTAGCAGAAAACGTGCTCCAGGTCTGGACAGAGTCTTATAGAGCAAGCAGCTTGTCTCGAATCGTCAAGCAACCGCTCTCTTAGGTATGGGTGGCGGCGAAAAGCGGATCCAGGTTGAGCTCATTGTGTTCTCGCTTAAAGTCAGCTGCATCGAGAAACGGGCTTGTAACAGCAGCAAGGCAGTTGTCGAAGTTCTCAGCATCGCAGTCAGTAGTCGCAAGAAAAATCCGAGAGAAGCAGTCTCCGTCAGCGTGACAATGACCACTTTTGTACGACACCGTAAAGTCGTATTGCTGAAGGCGCAGCGCCCAACGTGCGAAGCGGCCAGAGGGATCGCGTAAGCTGACTAGCCAGCAAAAGGAATAGTGATTTGTTGTTATCTTGATTTGCCTTCTGTAAAGATAGCAACGAAACTTCTGTATGGCGAAAACAGCTGCCACACATTCCTGTTCCGTGACTGCATAATTGCGTTCAGATTTGCTTAGGCAACATCTGGCAAATGTGACGACATGCTCTGCATTACTGTGACGTTGTACAAGCACGGCTCTTATGTCGATATCACTAGGGCCAGTGTGGACCTCAGTCGGGCAAGATGTATCGAAGTGACCCAACAGTAGTGCAAACGCTAATACAAAATTAAGTTGGGAGAATGAGGCATCACACTCTGGTGTCAAACTGAAGGCCACATTCTCTTGCAAGATGTTTGTAAGTGGGTACACAATCTCCGCAAATCAGGGAACAAAACGGCGGAAGTACGAGCATAGACCGACAAATAAGCAAAGTTCTCGTGTGGACTGCAGTGGTTTGAAAGAGCTCACTGCTTCTATTTTGCGAGGATCGGGTCTCATGTCATCGTTGTCGACTAAGTGCCCCTGCACCAGTGTTTGGCATTCTCCAAAGCAACATTTTTTGCAATTCAGAACTAGCCTGGCTTTTTCGATGCAGACGAGAACAAGACTGGAGCCGGTTGTTATGTTCTTCAAATGTACGACCAAAGATCACAAAATCGTCATGGTAGCACATGCATATCTCCCACTATAGACTAGTGCACATAATACATGTCCATAAATCTTTCAAAAGTGGCAGGAGCATCATAAAGGCCAAAAGACATGACATTAAATTTGAATTGGCCACCCAGAGTTACGAAAGCAGTCTTTTTTTTGTCGCCTAATTCCATAAGTATTTGCCCATAATCGGATAGCAAATCAAGTGTTGAAAAATAGGAGGCGGCATGCAAGCGATTCATGACGTCATCAATTCGCGGTAAGGGATACATATTCGTCTTCTTCGCAGTGTTTAGACACCTGTAGTCATGGCATAACCTCCAGGAACCATTTTTTTTTTCTGACGAGGATTACCCCTTCTGGCCACAGACTGGACGACTCTGGCACGGCACCTTTGTTCAGCATCTTCTCTACTTATTCAACAATAACGTTGCACTCGGAGCATTATACTCGATATGGCTTTTGGCTGATGGGGTGTGTTGAGCCGGAGTCTATTCTGTGACGACCATGGGATGAGGGTGGTGCATCTCCATGTTTGAAGTCTAAAGCAGCAACATGCCGGCAAAGGACCTGTACCAGTGCTTGCCGTTTCATTGTGCTGAGAGCCTTGCTGATTATCATCATCATCATCAGCCTGACTATGTCCACTGCAGGACAAAGGCCTCTCCCATGTTCCGCCAGTTAACTTAGTCCTGTGCTTGCTGCTGCCAATTTATACCCGCAAACTTCTTAATCTGATCTGTCCACCTAACCTTCTGTCTCCCCCCTAACCCACTTGCCTTCTCTAGGAATCTAGTTAGTTACCCTTAACGACCAGCGGTTATCCTGTCTACGCGCTACATGCCCGGCCCATGTCCATTTCTTATTCTTGATTTCAGCTATGATATCCTTAACCCCCGTTTGTTCCCTAATCCACTCTGCTCTCTTCTTGTCTCTTAAGGTTACACCTACCATTTTTCTTTCCATTGCGCGCTGCGTCGTCCTCAATTTAAGCTGAACCCTCTTTGTAAGTTTCCAGGTTTCTGCTCCGTAGCTAAGTACTGGCAAGATACAGCTGTTATATACCTTCCTCTTGAGGGATAGTGGCAATCTACCTGTCATAATTTGAGAGTGCTTGCCAAATGTGCTCCACCCCATTCTTATTCTTCTAGTTACTTCAATCTCGTGGTTCGGCTCTGCGGTTATTACCTGCCCTAAGTAGACATAGTCTTTCACAACTTGAAGTGCACTATTACCTATCTCAAAGCGCTGCTCTTTTCTGAGGTTGTTGTACATTACTTTCGTTTTCTGCAGATTCATTTTAAGACCCACCTTTCTGCTCTCCTTGTCTGACTCCATAATCATGAGTTGCAATTCGTCCCTTAAGTTACTCAGCAATGCAATGTCATCGGCGAAGCGCAGGTTACTAAGGTACTCTCTATTAACTCTTATCCCCAACTGTTCCCATTCTAGGCATCTGAAAACCTCCTGTAAGCACGCGGTAAATAGC